AAAAAGTCCCACCCCCCCCCCCCCAACACAAAAAAGATCAACAACATGTAAGAAAGAAAAAAAGTTTAAAAAATTGAGCAATATAAGCATGAATTGAATTTTTTAATTTTCATTTCCTGCTCTTATAAGAGATCAACCAAAAAAGAAGAAGAACATTAGAATCAATAGATGAATGATGATTCCTAAAAATTATAGCATTCCTCTCATATCAATCACATAGATAACCACTTGTAAAGCCAAGAGATAAAAACGATTAAAAATTTTGGAAGATAAATTATCAGTGATAAATAACTTGAAAAATATTACTAGGGGTATTAAAAGAATTATCATTATGAACACAACTTTTAAGAAACATATGCGAATATGACATTCAAAAAATGGATGATCATGAGATTCAAAACCATTCAAACATAAAACGCAAGTAAAATTGATATGCATGCCTCTTAAAGATAGAACATCACAAGTTTTGAGTCATTTAATAATAACTTTTCAAATATGAATAGCCTATTTTAAGGAAAAACATTTAAACCAAACTAACTTAAACCAATTAACTTGAGATCAAGAGACATAAAAAATATATATATCCTTATGAGAATAGGTACTCTTAATCCAAACACAAATAAGGCCATTGGAAATAGAAATCCTACTAATGTCATCAATACAACAAGGAGCTTGATAATCTAGAGTAGGGAATACCCATTTACAATTTGATGAACAATTTGAGGTCCGCTAAATTAAAAAGAACAAAGTTTACAAGTAAAAGAATAAAATTTCATTTTTTTTTAATGTGAAGATTAATTGAATTAAAATTTAACATGATCTAACTATTTTGTTGATATTTAAAAACATAGTTATTTGTTGTTCAACAAGTAATTTGTCAAATAATTTATTCTAATACAATTTTAATGTTTCGTAGTAATAAATCTTATTTAATATACATATTACTTTTTTACTTGTTATAAATTTATTAGATTTTAACTTGAAATTTCTTCAATTATTCATTTACTTAGTTTGTAGAACAGTTTGTTGCTTGTTTTATTTAAAAAATAAATAAATATTCATTTAAACTCTTAACTTGCTTGCTAGCTTTATATAAAAAATCAAATATAAATCAAGTTTTTAATTTTATGTGACAAAATTAAATTCTCATTCAAATTTTTTGTTTGTTGAATTAATATAAACAATATAATTATAAGTCAAGAATGATCATTAAAAAACATGACAAATATATAAAACTTGGCTCTAGTTCAAACACAATATGAACAGCTTATGATTTAACAACACCATGTTCAATATATGTCATACTCGATTCGACTCAGCTCAATTACAGCCCTACTTAAGATTTACATTATAACATAATTTTATAGAGTGTTTAAATAGGTAACATATCTATTTGAAATAAAGCAAAAATTTTCAAGATCGAATTTGAATGCTCATCCAACCAAAATACATTATATTATATAACACTATATATATATATATATATAATTTAAAAAAAAAGAAATTGGTATTTGGCAGAGGCCCAAATATCAATTTCTCATGCGCCAGGCCCCATGATGAAAGTCTGCGTCATGTGCCTAAATATTCGAGAACCCAACGTCAATGGGATTGAACCATTGACCTGAGGGGAATAATAGCAAATCCCGCCAACCAACAGGCCACAGCTTGCGACACACAAACAAACACACACACATGTGTGCCCAAGTTGTGGCCTGTTCGTTGGCGGGGTTCACTGTAAGTCCTCTCAAGTCAAGGTTTAGATCACACCGTGGCGCGGAGCCTCAAGAATTTTAGACAAATGGAGCGGGCTCTCATCATGGGGCCAAAAAACGCCTGAGAAATCGATATTTGGGCCTCTGCCAATTATCAATTTTTTTTTTCAAGTATATATATATATA